TAACCATAAAAACAAAAACAAGGAAACCTAACTCCAGGTAAATAGTGTTGCCTCCTCTCACTTTGTTAAAAAGAAAGATGAAAGAATATTAGAGAGCCATTAAAAACACAATGACACCACACTGAACCTTTCTTCTTAACATCATGAAAAGGATTGGAAGATACTTGGAAAGGAAACATGTCCCAGTATTTCAAGAATGGGGAATATGGCATGGGTGGGCCTCATGTGGGTAGAGGTAGATATTAGAAAGTTGTTAGGAACTGAGGTGGCCTTCTGTGGTGGTGTTTGGATTCTCTTCCATGACATTCCTGTCTCTCTTCATTCATCTACTGAGTTTTCCCTCTACCAACATGGGTCTTGTTGGTTCCAAGTGACAGGTTTTGATTTCAATTCCCTTGGCTAACTGGCTCAGTCTCTCCATTCCCCAATTCCTCAGAGGGGAATTGGATTGGTCCAGTAGTCTTTTCAGGACAGTCCCTATAAACCCTAGGTCATGGCTAATCTGGGACAGCCCCATCACCCCTACCGCAATCTAAACAGCAAAGACTAAAGAGTCACATAGTGTAGGATATGGACATTTGGGGCAGCAGAAGTTTGTGCCAGGACAGATACTAGCATTCATCCAACAAATGTTTATTGAATATTTGCCATGTGTGCAAGCCACTATTGTGGGAGCTGGGGGCTATAACGGTGGACAAGATTGACAAGGTCCCTGAAACCTTGTGGAGGGAAGTGAGCTTTACATGAGTGACATAGTAAAATCAAAGACTGTGGTAAACCCCCAGAAGGAAATAAACAGAGTGATATGATGGTTACTGGACTGAAGGTAGAGGAGATTACTTTTAATGGGATGACACAGAAGCCCTCTTTGTAGAAATGATCTTTGAGCTGAAATCTGAGGAAGGAACATAAAGACTTTGAGGTGGGAAGGAACTTGGCATGTTTGAGGAAAAAAAAAAAGAGAGAAAAGAAAAAAACCCCAAAGTGGCCAACTGAGCAGAGTAAGGGGTGACATTGGAGAAGTAGGCAGGGGCCAGATTATGCAATACTTTGTAGCCCTCAGTGAAGGGGATGGTAACCAGACCCTCCCAAGGCCCAGACTATCACATACATGCAGAGAAGATTTGAAGAAGCTCAGCATGGAGAAGAATGGTAGAACTGAGCAAGAAGGTGGTGGTAGGGGGGAGCTTTTGGTGACATTGAGAATGTCACATTCCTGAGAATGACTTACAGTTTTGTACTACTTAAGTTTAAGAACATTGGTTACCTATCAGTGCAGTTAGGGAAAGGTGACTAGTAAGAAGTAGCTAGTGATCCCTATAACATAAGTTACTTCTCACTTTTCTGTAGGGAAGATGCTGCATGGAAAGGAAATAATATTTATTCAACATGTCTCCACATTAGCTTATCTCCTATCCTTACAGAAACCTTGAGAGCTCTTTCTTCCAGAGGAGAAAATCAAAGATCACAGAAATTAAGAAAGAAGTTACAATCACCAGCTACTAAGTGGCTGGCCTGGACTTTGAAAGCAAATGGGTGGCTCTAAAACCTGTGGTCCTTTTATTGCATTTTCTGCTTGATGATACTGTTTGAAAGAAAAAGATACAATGTAGGTGTAGAGATCACTCTCTTGGACTTGATGTGAAAGAAAGGGAATGATCAAGGCCAAGAAGTGTAATAAACTAGTCCTGTATGCCTCTTGCATCTCCCATGGGATCACCGCATAACTCCAAAGAGGAGGACCAGTAGGAGGTTATATATATAATCTTTAAAAATGTTAGAGAGGGGTGCCTGGGTGGCTCAGATGGTTAAGCGTCTGCCTTCGGCTCAGGTCATGATCCCAGGGTCCTGGGATCGAGTCCCACATCGGGCTCCCTGCTAGGCAGGGAGCCTGCTTCTCCCTCTGCCTCTGCCTCTCTCTCTCTCTCTGACTCTCATGAATAAATAAATAAAACATTAAAAAAAAAATAAAAATGTTAGAGAGGATGGTATGGAACTAGTACCCGAGGAACATGTTCAGGAGAATAAATAGTAGGTAATACTTAGCTGTGGTGGCACTGGTTGGAGAAAGGAGGAGTTAGTTTAGGTAACTAGGAAACTGAGCAGATGGTGGTGCTGTAATATGTTGAAGGACTTGGTGCAGGTACAAGCTACATCCCTCTATCCAGTCTTTGTTGGATCTCCCGTCTCTTCCCTAACGGATAACATCTTGGGCAGATCTCCTAACTTTAAGGTCATTTCTAATGATTTAAAGTCCATTCTATCTTTGCTTTCTACTCACTTTTGCTGTGAACCTAAAACTGCTCTAAAAAAAATAGTTTATTAAGAAAAAAAAGTCCAGGGGCACCTGTGTGGCTCAGTTGTTAAGCATCTGCCTTCGGCTCAGGTCATGGTCCCATCGAGCCCCGCCTTGGGCTCCCTGCTCCTCGGGGAGCCTGCTTCTCCCTCTCCCACTCCCCCTGCTTATGTTCCCTCTCTCGCTGTGTCTCTCTCTGTCAAATAAATAAGTAAAATCTTTAAAAAAAAAAAAAAGTCCAGTCTAGCCTAAATCAAAACATCAATTTCATATCTAATTTATTTTTTTAATTTTAAAGATTTATTCATTTGATAGAGAGAGAGAGAGAGAGAGTGCACACAAGCAGGGGAGGGGCAGAGGGAGAGAGACAGAGAGACAACCTCAAGCTGACTTCCCACTGAGCATGGAGCTGGAGGGATGCGGGCTTGATCTCGCAACGCTGAGATCATGACCTGGGCTGAAATCAAGAGTCTGCCACTCAACCAACTGAGACCCCATATCTAATTTAAAGCTTCTCCCCTCTTTGACTCTCAGTTGGGAATTTATGTTTAGCTTATACTTTTCCTCTCTTCTTTTTCTTCCCTCTCTCACTCTGCTCCTCTGTCATTAGGGGAAGGATTAAAGAAAGGAAGTAAAAGTGTCTCACAAGACTAATGTCATCAGAAGCAGAGATCCAGGAGCTGATTCTCTCTTGTTGAGAGCATTTATGGGTTCTTTGGAGGCTATACCTGTGAACCTTAAGATCCCTCTTCAGTCACTGCTTCTTGGTGTCCACTTTTCTAGTCTATTACTGGGTCTTTTCACTCTGGTGGGAAGCCCTATTGAGTTGGCCATCTGACTCTGCTGAACACAGGTAGTGGAGGCTGCCCCATTGCTGCCCTTTCTCCTTGTCCTATTGTGGAATGTATCAGCCCCCTTCACTAATTCAAAATTCTGCAGGCCAAAAGTGGTAACCATCTTCATGAGTGTGCATGAAGTCCCCAACCGCCTGGAGAGACAGGTCTGGTTCACCTCAAAACTCTTAACCATGGTGGATGCACACAGATGGCTAAGTTGCTGTAGTCAGCGAGACTCACCAGCTTGGGAGAAAGATCTCGCAGATACCCCCAGTCTTTTGTAGTGCTTCCTCTTTATAGTGAGGTGAGCATTTCATCGTCTTCCATGATTTCTTCTAATGAATTCCTTTTGAATTTTTATCTCTCCCTGATGGAGGCTGGAAGTAGATGAAGGTTTTAGGATTGGTCTAGCCATTTTTTAGTAGATCTTTTACTTACTAAAGTAGTAAGGATGAACTGGTAGGTCTTCTTTAGAAGGTGAAGATCCTTATTTCCTGTTGTTCTCAGCTTTGGAATTTTATAGCTCATTAACATTCTGGCACAATATATTAATTGCACACCAAATTGAGGAGGGAGGAATGTCCTTTCTAAGCAAAGAAAGGCTTAGTTTTATACTGAGATTCAGGGACTCTCGGAGTTAGGAGAAATCTAGAAGCCATTTAATCAATTTCCCCACCAACGCCATGAATTCTGTTTGCAACTTGGTGAGATGTTAACCAGTTTTCATTTGGACACATCCAGGAACTAGGAATGCATTCCCTAACTTTCAGATCTCAGTTCCGTCAATTACCAGATGAGTTTCACCAAATCACTTTAAACCCTGCTCCTCACCTATGAAAGGACTGTAAATAGTGTCTTCTTCACAGAACATTGTTGGAAGGATAAAAGAAGAAAAATATATAAATTGCCTAACCCAGTCACAGAGGAGTGCAATGTTGTTTCCCTTTACAGGTCCCTTTAGGGGACAGCATATTCTGTTTTCAGATTATTTTCACCAGGAGAAAGATCTTCCTCATATTGAACTGCCTCTGTATATTTTTAGCTCTTCCCTTAAGCTCACCCTTCAGTGGTCATACAGAATGTCTTTTCTCCTTTCACTTGACAGACTTTCAGATATGTGATTTTAATTGAAGGAACTGGAGATATTAGAAAAATCCATTTTTTTTTCTTTTCTGAATGGGGAGTCCAGGTAGCCGTTAGACTTCCGTGTGACCCCCAAGAGGGATTTATTGAGTGAATGGGGTAAAGATGGTATTTCACTTTCTAACATCAGTTCTCCCCGACGCTGGTGGGTTTAATCACAGGCGGCTATGATTCTGTCGGATTCTAGCCTGGAACGTGTGTGTGTGTGTGTGTGTGTGTGTGTGTGTGTGTGTGAGAGAGAGAGAGAGAGAGAGAGAGGGAGAGAATGAGAGAGAGAGGGACAAATGTTGTTAGACATTTGAACGCCTTTGAATGGTGCTATTCTTTGTCTGCCACATCGTGAGCACTAATAAGATCGTTTATTGCCCTGAATGAATGGTTAAACGTGGAAGCGACAAAGGAAGCCAAACGGCTTTCCAATGAATATCTAGGCGGGTGCTCAAAAAGTCCTCTCAAGGGCGAGAGGGAGAGTTGCTGTTAAGAGGCCTCTTTTGGGGTGGGTGGGGGACTAGCTTTCGGCTTCAACGCTTAGGCACCGCCTCTTTCACCCGCGGACTGGCCGCTAGGCGGTGCTGTGGCAATTGCCGCCCACCAGCCCGAGCTCCCCAGCTCTCATCCTCACCCCTCAATCCCCGACCGGCAGCAAGACTACAACTCCCGTGGTGCTCTGGGAACGGGAGAGGGGGGCCATGGGGGGAAGAGGGAGGCGAGGGCGGGCTTTCCGGGAGTGTGTTTCCGGCGTCGGCGGCCGCGGCCGGGGACGGTGTGAAAGCGGTAAGATGGCGGCAGCGGCTGTGGTGGAGTTCCAGAGAGCCCAGTCTCTGCTCAGCACCGACCGGGAGGCCTCCATCGACATTCTCCACTCCATCGGTAAAGGTCGCCGCGCCCCCTCTCTGACCCTGCCGGCTCAGCTCGGCCTGTGTGGGCCGGCGGTGGCGGAGCGGGGCCGGGCTAGCCGGCTCTGGTGCTGCTGACTCACTGTGTGTGAGGGGGGCCGGGCCGGGGGCACAGGCCGCTCGCAGCTCCCTGGAGCTCCCTGGGTCCCACCCGGGTGGGAAGCTTCGAGGCAGCCCCGGCGTCCACTTGCCGGCTGCTGACTCACGGTGGGCTCAGCGTGGAGTGAGAGGGTGGGCCGAGCCGGGGCCCCCACCACTCCCCAGCCTTGCCCCGGCTCTGGCCCGTGCGGGCTGGCCCGGGACCGGGAGCACTGCCGGCCGGCGGGCTTGTCGCGAACAGGACTGAGAGCCTCGAGTTGAAGGGCCTTGGAGAAACTCGCTGTAGACAGCGTTTCCCGCCGTTGTTATCAGCACAGCCCGCTCCGGGTGGCAGTGCGAGCGCTCGCTTTTCTCTTGGAGTTTTCTTCCTCGGGACGCTGGGAGCTGCTGCCTCTCTCCAGCCTCACAGCGGAAGGCTCCACTAAAGGGAGATCTCTTTCTGAATGTGGGAAATACCGAGGGGACACACACCGCAGATTGGCATTTGGTTTGAAGAGGTGCCCGAGACGTTCCTTTGCCCCCTTGTAGGGTGTAAGAGCGAGATGGGACCGCCCGGCTAGAGGGGGTGACTAATCGTCCTCGTCTCCCCTGTAGAGGTGGGAAGTGAGTTCGGGGAGGTAGTTGTCAGCCGCGGAGTTCAGGGAACTGGTCCGCCGCAGATTGCCAGAGAAAATGAAAGTCAATTTGTAGTAGATTGCCTTACACCTTGCACACAACAGGAAAACTGAAATGGGAGCTCCAGCCAGTCGCTTCTGAGAAGTTTCTACCGGGATTCAGGTGTGAATAGAAATAAGTTTGTGATGACAGAGAAGGCTTTTAATGTTCAAGTCGTAAAGGGTTCAGTTAGGGCATGGGATAGCTCTCCACTGCACGTGGAGTAATGTGATCTTTTTAACGTAGCTTGAGAAGATTCGAATTGGATCAACAAGTAGCCTAAGAATGCACGTGTATGTGGGACCTCCAGGATGTTGGCTTTTACGTTGACTTCTAGTCCGTTGAATTTTCGTATCCCTGACTTGCATGGAGAAAAAACAACGGCAAGATCTTGATGTCTTTATCTTTGGGGGTACTGGAGAAGGAGAGGAGGTGGGGGTTAAGATGCATCTGTGGATGGATGATTTTGGTGAATGAAAGGTTTTAATTTTGAAGTTCTGATCTTGAATTAAGTCAATTACAATTATAGAACCAGCGTCATCTCAATCACATATATATTTTTATTCTGTGAGTACACACTAATGTGAGAAGCATGGATTTTATTTTATTTTTTTATTGTGCTAAGTGCCTAATATTTTGTCTTTTATAAAGCGAAATTATGGTAAGCATTATAGTTGGAGTATTTTGTGATTGTCCACTCTACTAGGAGAGAGTTGCCTGAAACCTTCCCTCTTCAAGCTTGAGTCATGATGGGTACAGTCTTACTTTTTCCAGACTCCATCATGGAGTATCTAATCTTGGTTTTTGTCAAGTCATGATGCTTTGTAAGAGAAGTGATAACTAGTGATGATCACTAAAATTATCACCACAAACTCAGAGAGGTTATTCAGTGTTTGAGTGGTAAAATAGTTTTTAACAGTTGAAAGTGGGACAGATAGCACAAAGTTATTTTAACAGGTCCTGAATCCATTACAAAGCTGCAGTCCCTCCTAATGATCACACTGGAGCTTTGATTGGGTTGTTTTTCCTGAATGGCTTTGTAGAACTGCTTATCCCTAGCATGCCCATTAGTGAGGCTTTCCACAGACTTAAAGTTTATTGAAAGACTTGACTTTTTTTAGTCATCAGTAAATAATGGTCTTTTGATTTTAGTTTGTGGCAGGTAAACGTATAGGCACGTTTAATATTTTCAGTAACAAAGTGCCTAATGTGGGGCTTAGCGCCACAAGTATGAAGCACTTGTTTGGATTTTTGCTTTAACCAAGTGACTGCAACAGAAATCTCATTGTATGTGGGTAAGGGGAATTCTGATTCATAGAATGAAAAGGCACATTTAAAATCAGAGAGGGATCTATTTTTATGATTTACATGGGACATATCTTACATGATGATTTCACTTTTTTAAGAATTGTTTTTTTTTAAAGCTCTCTAGAATTTGTCTTTTGGTAACTGAGTTTGTAATTGGTCTTGTGAGGGTGAAATTTCCCTCAGTCTTCATTTTTTGTCAGAATTTTAAGAAGGTTTGCATTTTCCTCTCCCAGTGAAGCGTGACATTCAGGAGAATGATGAGGAGGCAGTGCAGGTCAAAGAGCAGAGTATCCTGGAACTGGGATCTCTCTTGGCGAAGACTGGACAAGCTGCAGGTAAGCGCTGCAAATGGGTTGCTTTCTCTTTAACCTGAAAGGCTGGGGGAAGTTTCAAGTTTCTCTTGGAGTACAGGAACATAGGAATGCATCCACACAGTTTATTGGTGGTATAATTCCATTTTATCATCAACTTGTTGAGCTTCAGTTTTTTAGCAGGAAGCTAGGTGGACCTTTAAATTCAGTTCTTTCGTGGAACAGTTTTGTTCTGCAGGTGTGGGAAAATCCTGTTCCTGGTGGGATATAGTGATCTGTGATTTGTTTCTGGTTTGAATTTTCACTGTGTTCCCTTACATAGGGGCAGCAGCACCAGTAGCAGATGTCTTTAGTGATTTCAGCTCTGATACATTTAAGATGGACAGCAGCTTAGGCCCCTGACTTGAAAGTGACTAGGGATTTTGCACCCAAGTCAGTGAGTAGCTGTCTTTTTTTCCTAATAGAGGGTAAGTGAGACATTAAATGGAAAGAGCCTTCCTGAGATTTCTCCATTGTTACCTGGGACTTTGTGCATGTTATTGCCCAAACATTCTAGTTGTAATTGAACCATTGAGTTTCTAGGCTTGAGATACTCTGATGACAGGTGTGTCCTGGGAATAAGAGTCACTGGAATAAGAGACCAGGAAGGGCCTTGGACCAGTAAAGTGGTAATAGTATTTAGAGACAAGGTTTCTTAAGCTTAAAATGGATGATTTTTGTCAACTTTAAAGTGAATTTAGATCTTATCTAATTTAGAATGGATTAAGCTCTGGTAAGGGACTTCATGAATTACTTTACCCAAAATAATATTGTTATCCAAGAGGTGTAAATTAGCAAAACTTCTTGAACTTGAGAACTAAGATCTTTCGCAACTTAAGGATGACTAACATTGATTATTAGGCTCAGTTAATAAAAAGTTGAGTAAAGGTGTATGCAGTTGGGAGGATGTGTTTATATGGCTTTTGTATCTTAAAATATCATTTAAAAATATCTATAGTAAGACAGTTTTTAAATGCTATCAACCAGTTACTCTTTTTTTTTTTTAGCACAGAAATGATTAATTTATTGCATCCTCAAAACAACTCAATAAGGTAGATACTATTGTCTATTTTACACCTGAGGAAACTGAGCACAGAAGAGTTAAATAACTTATCCAAGGTCACTCACTCATCTAGTACATGGAAGAGCCAGGATTTGAACCAATTAGTCCCACTTCAGAGCTCGAGGCCTTATGGTGTAATGGTTCATGCTTTCCATAGTTAATCACTTATAGGTTATCAGTGGTTAGTGCTGGGATTTTTCACTTTATTTATTTTTTTTTAAGTTTATTTATTTATTTTTTTAGTAATCTCTATGCACAACGTGGGGCTCGAACTCAACCCCCCAGATCAAGAGTCACATGCTTTTCTGACTGAGCCAGCCATGCATCCCTGTTTTTTCATTTTAGACTGACTTCCCTCCTATTTAACATATTTATTGATTCCTTTTGCCTGTCAGTTAATGTGAGCTTGGGGTTGCATAATAGTTTTGTAATCAGTCCGTACAAAATATCATTAATAAGGTAATTTTCCTGAAAGAATTAGAAAGATAAAGTGATTTAAGATTTTTCTGTTGTTGAAATTTCCAAATATCTGTTTTCCTCCAGTAGCATGGACAATTACAAATAGCACGTAGTATAGTCAGCGCGTCAAAAATTTATGCAAAAATGTTAACTGTTTTGCTTGAAATTCGTATTTTATGCTTTGTTCTTATTCCTTGCCGCTCCCCTTTTTGTGATTTGGTGCCTGAGAAGTTGCGAAGTGATTAGCTAAACCTATTGCAATTTAACAGGTGAATCATAAGGACTTTCAAAAACTTTTCCAGGTCATTTGTCATTGTTTCTAAGAAAGAGTTTGATGAGTATGGGTATATACAGTAGAAACTCTGAGGAGGTCTGGGGGCCTCCATTCCTGTGCCTAACTTTGCTCTTCATAATTGATAGGTTTATGTTGTTTCCTTTGATTTTTGGTTCCCTGAGAACAGAAAATAGGTCTAGTCCATTAATCTTTAATTTTGTTTTATTATGCACTTAATATACAGTTAGCACCGTGCTAAGTACTCCATTCAAAAAATTTAAGGTCTCTGACCTGTAGCAGTCATTTGGGAATTAGTGAATAAGGCAAGGTTTGATGCATAATAGTGGTTGAAAGTGGTGCTGAGCATCATCAGACATGATGGCTAGGCTCAGGATCTGCAGATTTCATAGCTTGAGATTCTGAAAGGATTATTTTGAGCTCTGTGACCTTCTAAAAAGGAAGTTTGGGTCCTTTATTGTAAATAATCTCAATAGGAAGTAGTATGATGCTTTGGGATTTAAAAAATTAATTTGTTATGTATGAGAATGGAAAGAAACAGACTATAACTGAGAATGAATAGCAACAATAGACTGAAATGAAAAGTGAACTGAGTCTTTGGCAACTAAGAGGTCATTTGTTTTTCTGTTGGGGTAAGAAGAATAACACTATCGGTGCTTGGAGCAAATACTGTAATGCTAGCAGGTGCTAGAGCAAAAGGCAGGCTGCTTAGTTCATGTTTCACTTCAGCCTTTTCCAGGAAGGAAAATAATTTTCAAAAAGAAAAAGAAAAAAGCATCAGAAAGAGCGTATTAAAGCCAAGGTAGGTGAGAGAAGAGAGAGCAGATAGGCTCCTTAAATAAGTTCAAGTCTCTAGGCTCTGACACTTTCTGTCTTTTAATATCAGAAGCATAGTTCTAGCAGATATATTTATAGAGCAACTATTATTATTCTGAGAAAAGTCATGGAGGATGGAGAAGTATTAAGGAAACAGGATGGGCAAATATTGTTTCATTTTGCATGAAGATAACAAAAAATAATTTCTAGACACTAAACTGGTAATCACTAATATTGGGACAGATTATTTGATAAGTAGGTTTTAATCACTTAAGACCGTGGCTTTATTAAGAAAAGATTATTTCAAACTCACCTTCATTCTCTTTGGTTAGACTTATCGACCAGTATATGTGCAGGGCTCCACAGACAGTGGCTTCCCAGCTGTTTTTGTAAATAAAGTTTTGTTGGATCCCAGCCACACCCGTTTGTTCACATATTGTTTATGTTTGCTTTTGCACTGCAGTGGCTGAGTTGAGTTTCTGCCAATGAGACCATATTGCCCAAAAAGCTGAAAATATTTACTATCTGGCCCTTCACAGAAAAAGTTTACCAACCTCTGGGTTAGAGGAATGATACAGACTACATATCTGATGTAAGCAAGGCCTTTGAACATTTGCCATAATATTAATGAGAGGTACAGGGTATGAAGATCATTTGTCAACTAGAGGGAAGTCTCTAGCATCATGTCATAGGGATTCTTCTGGTCAGCATCTGGCATTATGGCTAAAGCCTTTTCAGAAGGCCTGCTTATTTTTTGTAGATGACTCAGTACAGTAGAGGACAGAATTAAGATTCAGAGTTATTGCCAAAGCCAGCAAGATTAAATTCAGTGTGGTAAGTACAAAGTTATATACTTAAAAATATTTATCAAAACAGAGGAAGATGAGGAATTACCTGTCTGTCAAAAAAGACCTTAATGGACCAGTCTAAACAAAAGTGCTATTAAGAAAAAGGAAGTAGACTGTCTTGTGTTACCTCTGGGGCAGATCAAGAGACTGACTCTACTGGTCAGACCCTACCGGGAGAATTGTTTTCAGTTTTGGGTACTACAAGTGGTATGTTTGCAAACTAGAGTTTATTCAATGACAAGGAATCTAGAAACCAGAACATTGGAGGAACAGTTAAAATAGCTAAAGATGTTTAGCTTGGAGAAAGGGAAAGTTAGGGAGATATAAATGGTAGTTATCTTCAGAAATTTGAAGCCATGTGGAAGGAGGGAAAGACTTGGGTCTTAGAAAAGAACAATTCAGTTTGACTAACATTCGAATAGTCAGCTTTCTGAACATTTCTGTCATTAGAGATTGTTCAGAATTGTTCTAGCATAGTAGGAAATACTGTGGGAGAAGGGACATTATACTAAACTACTTTTAAAAAGCTATGATTATATAATTAAAATTTGTACAAATGTAAAAAGAATTTGAGAGGCAAAAATCAGTGCAGCCTGGAGTTGGCTTGGAAGACATAATAAGACTTTAGCTGGACCTAAAAGGGTATCTGAGGTTTACATAGATCAAGAAGGTGAGGGAGAAATTCTACATGGGAATGCAGCAGGAGTGAGGCGTGAAAGCACACACACGTCTAGTCTATGCAGGGGTGAATGGAGTGACAGAATGGGGAAAATCTTAGTGGAATCAAAGGTCAGTACTGGGGAGTGAAGGAAAAAATGAACTTTTCCACTGTATAAAGTTCTTTTCGTACCTGACACAGTCCCATGCATCCTGTGACTATTCAGGCAGTTGAGGATTTCAGGACCCTGAATTAGCATTCTCAGGAGGGTGAGGTTTGCTTGCCCTGAATTAGAATCCTCAGGAGGGTGAGTCCACAATTGGAGAATATTAAAGAGGCGGTGGCACTAAAGTAATTGTAACCTACATTCCAAAAGTACTTGCATAGTTATTGAGTTGAAATATTCTCTAATTTCTACTCTTGTTTCTAAAGATGCTCCCTTAAAATGACTGTGCCACCTTCTTTTCCTATACAAGGGGAGAAAAACTTCTGTGGTGGACACCTTTTTTGGTCATAGTTTAAGACTTACGCTTTACAGATAAATGAAGAATTTTAAGTATATGTTTAAGGGGAAAACACCCTAAGTTTTCTGTGAAAAGTTTAGTCAGTGCCGGGGAATTGATATTGTTAAAAGCCTAAACTGGAGAGAACTTTGGGAGGGGAGAAGGGAACCTGGAATTGAACATCTTCATCTGTTTTAAGGGGGAGCTGCTATGGTAGACTTGGAAATTCAGCAACAGAACACCCCTCCCATAACCTCATCAGATTTGCCAGTTGTGAGGAAGTGATTTTACCTCAGGTGTCAGAGGCACGGCGTATTTCATGTTCTAGAAATCTGCGCTCTGAGACTGTGAGCACTTGGCTGTTTATCTGTCATTAAGATGGGTAAATGAGGCTGAGAGACATGAGGTTTTCCCAGAGCCCTCGTAGTAATCCAGTAGCTGAGTGTGGAATAGAATACAAATTTGGTATATGTTGTTCACTCATTTTTGCTACTCTGTTACCTGCTAAGAATGCTTTAAATTCCTACTATGTATCATATAGTAGACTGATTGCAGTGACATAAGGATGGATTTTATGATCTTGGGTCATTATTTTAATGGGTATTTTGTCTCTAATATTGATGTTTACTTTTTCTTTTCTGAATTGCCTTCCACACAGAGCTTGGAGGACTCCTGAAGTATGTGCGACCCTTCTTGAATTCCATCAGCAAGGCTAAAGCAGCTCGTCTGGTCCGATCTCTTCTTGATCTGTTTCTTGATATGGAAGCAGCTACAGGGCAGGAGGTAAGCTACTTTAATGGCAGAAGGTGGACAATATGGACAAAAAGTCTGTTTCAGTGAAAGCAATGCCTGCCTGCACTGTGGTACTAATGTGGAAGGGACAGCTGGGAGGACAGCTCAGGACTTATCATGTCAGTTTCTCTTTGTTACAGGGCATTTGATACTTTGGGTCTGTTCCATGCTTTGCTTTGTAAGTGGAGATTGTCAGTGGTCCCTGGAATCCTCATTACATCAGGGTCACAAACTGATTCTTGTCTTTGAGGTATTGTATTGCCACACCTTTGTAATGTTTTCTGTGTCTGTGGTACCTTTCATTCTGTGTCACAGAGCTCCTTGTGAGCACTAAATAAGTCTTGTGGCATCCCTTCTTGGCGTGTTTTGTACTGCGTATATGCCTTTATGGAGGGGTGAGCATCCATCTGTTTGTGTCTCGTGTGCAGAAGTGACTCTGGTGTACCTGTACATGTCCTCTACAAGTTCAGACCAGACCCTGAACCATGCTAAGAGTGCCTCTTTGGAATCAGTGAGCCTCTTCTGAACTTTCAAAGATAGCTGTATTTTCTACAGTTCAGGAGGAGACACTACCAAAGTTAAAACTTATTCTGTAAAAAGCAGCAGATTCAAGCAGGATAGATTGTGGTTGCTTGAATCTGTTTGTAGGAAGAATATAGTTGTATTTCCTACAGATACATTGCTTAGTATTTACTGAGTGCCCACTGTATGCTAAACACTGTTACATATACTGGGGATACATTTGTAAAAACACAGTCACTGTTCTCATGGGGATTATATTTTAATGAGGAAGGCAAGCAATCAATGAATATATAAAATGTCAGGTAATATAAGGACAGGGGTAGGAAGCTGGCTGGTTATATGTCTGATTGTTTGCTCTAGCCTCTGTGGGTGTAAGTAAAAGGTATGAAAGGGCACAGTAGCATTCTGAGTAAATAATGAGAAATTTCAGAAATCTAGGACATGCTTCCCACTTTGAAATCAGGTCTTTTGTAAAAATCTGCTTTCTTGCCTTAATCATTCTTTGAGGCCTAGTTTAAACACCATAAACTCACTTCATTTGTAGATAATTCATTTGTAGAGAACTTTTCAAATTTGTGGCAGAACTATGTTTCATGATGGTAGATCAAAAATAGTTAATATTTAGATGGCTGTCTTTTGAACCAAAGCATTAGAATTATTTTTATGACTAATTTAAAAGAAGAGGTGATTTTAATGGGGTGTTAGTCTTATCTAACCCTAACTTTTTTTTTTTTTAAATTGTACTTTGTTCTCATGAAAAAGCAGCACCATCTTTTCTTTGAAATGGGGTGCCTTATAATGGACTGACCAAAAATGTAAGTTTGAAACAGACTGACATGTGTTACTTGGAACTTTCTAGGCAGAAAGAATTAATTATCAAAGCTGCTCCTTTGCACACCGAAGTCTCTGGAATTTTTCCCTTCCCATAGCATAGAGTTAACTCAGTGGATGGAACTGCATTTGTGTAACGAGCAGTTCTCCTACTCCTTTGTGGAGGTCCATTAAATCATAATTCAGCGCTCTCCTGTAATTGGCTAGTGGTATTTACTGGCCTTTATCATGTGGCTCAGTGTCTGGTTAGGCCCTCCTGTCTAAAATATCCCATCTGCTTTACATTTCTTCATATTTATTTTCCTTTTTAACATCTGTTTCCTCCTTAGAATAGAAGTTCCATGAGGATAGTTACTTTGTCCTCTCCAGTGCTGTATCCTTGGCACTTAGAGTAGTTTGGCCCAGAGGAGCTACAGAACTGATATTTGTTGGAGGAATGTATGGATAATGCCTTCCCCGTGGTCGATGCTTAGGAGATACTTTTTTGAATTAAGACATAAATTTATTGAATTGAGATACAAGCATAAATGTTATTACTACATTTCTCTAGGTGACTCAGGGTCTCTGACTTGGAGAAATTGGAGCTATGTATTCATCTTGGAACATTCTAGGTTCTTTTAAAATTCTTTGAGTGATGGAAAAGGATAGGGGAGCAAGTTGTAGGTCACTATCGTAGTATTGTGGCCTGAGGCAAAAGAAGAAGTTTGTGAACATTGTTGAGAGAGCTAGGAGTTTTGTGTTGCGGAGTTTGGTACCCAAGAGGATGGAGGAGGGGATTTTCCTTGCCTTTTCCTGTTTGGGAACTAACCATAAGTCAGATAGATTTACAGAACAGTTTCTAGCTTGCTGTATTCCAAAAAGGTGGTAGGAAATCAGGTTAGGATTGAGTGAATTGCAGCACTAAGGTTTAGTGCCTAGAAAGTGAGGATGTAGGTGCAGGTAAGGGAGAGTGAGGATGGGGTGGTTGGCAAGGGTGGGAGGGGGGTAGAGAACTGGGGTGAGGAGGGGACTGAGCCAGACCCTTGCCAAATAGGGAACTGAAATTTCAAAATTAACCTTACCTTTCTGGGATCTCTAGGTAGTTGCCCAGGGGAAGCCATTTTTGGTATAGTCTATCCAACTGAAGCCACAATAGCACATTTTGAGAAACCTTACATCGAATCCTGTTATTGAAACAGTTATTTCCATGGCAAAAAGGAGTTTGTGCTAGAGAATTTCAGACTTGGAATAGTAGTTACTATTTTCCCATAAGGATTTAGTTAATAAAGGCATTTAAAAAAATGGTTAAGTGTATTGATTTAAAACTTAAATGTCTGGGGCACCTGGGTGGCTCAGTTGGTGAAGTGTGTGCCTTCGGCTCAGGTCATGATCCCAGAGTCCTGGGATCGAGCCCCGCGTCGGGCCCCCTGCTCCGCGGGAAGCCTGCTTCTCCCTCTCCCACTCCCCCTGCTTGTGTTCCCTCTCTCGCTGTGTCTCTCTCTCTGTCAAATAAATTAAAAAAATCTTTAAAAAACAAAACAAACTTAAATGTCTGATTTCTGTCACATCAGGCTTTTGTACTCAAATAAGGGCTTTCTCCAGAAGCAGGGGCTCTTCCTATATTCTTATACCCTTTATTAGTCATTATCCACATTAACAAAGCACAAAGCCTGAAACAAAATAGTTGTGTAGCAAGGCCAATGGCCTTTAAAATTTTTCCTTAGAATTGAGGTGCCGGCTTTACCAGTTACAGTCCTAGATAGTGCAAATCATGTGCCCTGTAATGGATAACAGTTAGTTCAGTTTGTAAAAAAATCCCTGCTCTAGGAGAAATGTCAGTACTGACCTGAACTAGAGCACTGGAGATAGGGTCAAGTTCTGATCCCAGCAGCTGGTATGTGACCTTGAGTGAGTCACTTCACATCTGGACTGTCAGGGAAATGGGGACAGTCGAGATGATGGAGAAGAATGCAGTGTTTCTTAACTAGAGATCTACATCTGAGTGTCCAGGCTCTATTCCAGACTACTGAGTCAGGAGCCTCGGCATCCATTTTTGTATTCTTAAAAAAGCTCCCTGTGTAAAACTGGGACGGTAAGCATTTCTTAGCCCCCCCCCGCCCAAGACATATAGGACTAAGGACTCTTGTATTTTCGTTGTTAAACACATTTAGCAAAGTATTTTTAGTTCCATTCACGTCATGAACAGAGATCTTACTTTGAATTTGGCTTTTCAGAACATAACTCAGAACTCTGAAATTGTGGTTGGCTTGCTTTTAATTTAGTTTTTGGAGAATTTTTAGGCAGTCGGTTGAATTTAGTGCTGGAGATTAAGTAGCCACCAGGGGGCTTCAGTGAGTTATAAAGGTTCCCTTGAGTCTTACTGGTGAATCCTCCAAATACCATGTAATGTCATCTGTTTATTTACTGAGCTTGAACTTAGGATCTAAAGGCAGAAGATCTGTCAATTTGAATTATGTGCTGTTCCTTTTCTTTCCTTATAACACCTCTTAAGAGCAGTTCGGATGTACATGAAGATCTGTTTTATTAGCAGTCAGTTCTCCAGAAAGTTCAATTTCTTTCTTTTTTTTTTTTAAAGATTTTATTTATTTATTTGACAGAGAGAGGGACATAGTGAGAGAGGGACACAAGCAGGGAGAGTGGGAGAGGGAGAAGCAGGCTTCCCGCGGAGTGGGGAGCCCGATGCGGGGCTCGATCCCAGCACCCTGGGATCATGACCTGAGCCGAAGGCAGACTCTTAACTGACTGAGCCACCCAGGCGCCCCGAAAGTTCAGTTTCTTATTTTATGCTCTGATTAGGAATCTTAATACAAAACTTGCAGTAGCAGAAGTGATACAAGATCTGCAAGTACTTAATACGTACTTTCTCAAAGCTAGTATGTCACAGGTACCTGATGCCATGTACACCATCTAGCATAGAACACTGCTTTAAATCAGTTATTTTGCACATTATCTTACTGCTTGGGTGGCAGGTAGAATTGGGGGTTCACAGCACCTTTATTATTTTTTTATTCATTCCTTTTTTTTTTTTAAGTAGGCTCTGTACCCAACATGGGGCTCTAACTATGACCCTGAGTTCAAGAGTCACATGTTCTACCAACTGAGCCAGCCAGGTGCCCCCAAAGCACTTTTAAATAAAGCCTTAAAGTCCTTTTAAGTGTTAGGCTAATTGTAATTTCTTTTTACTCCCTTTAATACATGCTGAGTGTATTATATTGTGATGATGAATTGGTTAGTTGCACTTGTTAGTATCAGAAAGGGAAGAGCCAGCTGGGCCTTTTGAGTCTTACGAGCAACTGTTAGGAACAAGGCATTTGTGCTTAGGCTGAGAATTTCTCCCCTTTATTACCAATGGGCTCATATTAACACATTGCCATTACTATTTGTAACTATTTAGGGAGAAATTTCTGCTTTAAAGATTTCTCAGCCATTGTAGAAATCTGTATTCCAGGCTATATATATGTTGGAAGTTCTGGGCCCCTCCTGGGAAGGTATACGAGGAATCTTGAAGAAAAAGCTCTTTTTTTTTTTAAGATTTTGTTTATTTGGCAGAGACAGACAGCGAGAGAGGGAACGCAAGCAGGGGAGTGGGAGAGGGAGAAGCAGGCTTCCCACTGAGCAGGGAGCCCGATGTGGGACTCGATCCCAGGACCCTGGGATCATGACCTGAGCTGAAGGCAGACACTTCACCGACTGAGCCACCCAGGTGCCCCAGGAAGCTCTTTTTCAAAAGAACGCAATCTAAGCACAAAGATACTTTGTGTGTAAAAAGTCAAGTTGATTCTCCATTATGATATAACCATTACACAGTGAGATACTGATCAAGGTATGTCCCCTGAGACATTAAGTAGAGCACGATGGGTAATATATAAGGAGGGAATTAAAGCTATTCACCAAAGCAAGGTTTGTGGGAAGAATGTGAGGACATAATATTGCATGTCCTGTCTCTTTGTTGCAGGTCGAATTGTGTTTAGAGTGCATCGAATGGGCCAAATCAGAGAAGCGAACTTTCTTACGCCAAGCCTTGGAGGTATGTACCTACATTAGTGCTGCTTTCAGGTCTCTAGGCATTAGACAGGCTGTGAATGTAAGTAACACCATTCTGATCAAAAATATTTTCAGTAATTTTGTACTAGCCAGGCACCCAAAGATTATTGATAGCGATCCCACTCACGAGAATACCTGCTGTGTGGCTCAGAGAACTAAGCAGCAGTCCAGTGAGCTTAACAGTCACCGACCATAGTAGCAGATAGTACCCTGGGCTACATCGTTGCTTAGGCTAGATTTGATGCTCTCTCCAGAACTTGTATATTCAACAGTAACAGTTCTGTGACTGTCAATCTTTGATTTCTTTCTTTGGCTTTTTTCTTTCTTTCTATCAGTCAATGCCTTTTCTCTTTCCTAGGCAAGACTGGTGTCTTTGTACTTTGATACCAAGAGGTACCAGGAAGCATTGCATTTGGGTAAGTAAGCTGATAGAAAGTAATAAGGCAACCTAGCTGGCTAAATAAATGTATTCTGAACCTGGCCACTCTCATTAGTTACATATTAATTTACGTTCTGCCTACTTCTAAGAAGGATTTAAAGTGGCTTTGCATTTACTGAATCTGTCATGGAGAAATGCCATTTGGAAGTTCTAAGTAACTTACCAGAGTTAATCTGTCAAATTTAGGAAACCAAAGGGTCAAACTGCACGTGTTTTACTATTATGTTGTTATACTTGTTTATAATTACACTTCAAATCTATTTTAAAACTCAAGAAATTAATTGGTGCAAATGTATATGGTGACTAGAGTGAGCTGACTAAAGCCTTTCCCCTGTGTGGCCTTTGAACACCCTGAAGTCTTTGCCTGCTGCTTTTTTTTTTTTTTTTGTAATTGGTAGATTTGGACTGTTTTCCCCAGATCGAAGAACATGGTTTCTCATGATCTTAAGGTGAAAAAATTGCCAATATTCAGTTTTTATCCAGCAAAATGGCATTTCATTTGGTTCAAACGAAAAGTAGCATTTAAAAGATTTTTTTTTTTAAAGTTTTATTTATTTAAGTAATCTGTACACCCAATGTGAGGCTCAAATTCACGACCCCAAAATCCACAGTCACATGTTCTTCTGACTGGGCCAGCCAGGCGCCCCCCAAAAATAACAGTTTTATTGAGATGTAATTCATAGACCATAAAATTCACCCTTTTAAAAGTGTATGATCCAGTGGTTTTTAGTATATTCATAGTTGTACAGTCATCACCACAATCTGATTGCAGAAACATTTTGTCACCCTGGGAAGAAACCTTTTACCATGTACCCATGAGTTATCGTCCCCGCCACCCCTCCCGCCAGGCGGCCACTAATCTACTTTCTGCCTCTGTGGGTGTGTCTTTTCTGGACATTGCATATAAACAGAGTCATATAATATGTGGTCTTTGTGATTGGCATCTTTCACTTAGCATGTGTTCATGTTATCCATGTTGGAGCACGTATCACTACCTTATTTGTTTTTATTGCCGAATATCCATTGTGTGGTTATGCCACATTGTAGCCATCTTTGTGGGGGTGAAAGTGGTATCTCATTGTGCTTTTGATTTGCATTTCCCTAGTGACTAGTGATGTTGAGCATCTTTTTATGTACTTATTGGCCATTTGTATGTCTTTGGAGAAATGTTTATTCAGTCCTTTGCTTATTTTTTAATTGGGTTATTTGTGTTTTTATTGTTTATTCTGGATAAAAGTCCCTTACCAGATACACGATCTGCAATTTTTTTCTCCATTTTATGAATTGCATTTTCACTTTCTTGAGTAGTGTCCTTTGAGGCACATTTTAATTTAAAATCCATTTATTTATTTTTAATTTAATCTTATTTTTGAAAGAAAGTGTGTGCATGCGTGCGAGTGGGGGGCGGAGGGGGTTGGAGAGGGAGAGAGAGAATCCTAAGCAGGCTCCATGCCCAGCGTGGAGCCCGACGCATCTCGATCTCACAACCCTGATATGACCTGAGCCGAAATCCAGAGTTGGATGCTTAACCGACTGAGCCACCCAGGCGCCCATATGTCCCATTTATTTATTTTTTTGTTGCTTATGCTTTTGGTATCATAACTAAGAAATCATTGCCTAATTCCAGATCACAAAGATTTACTACTGTGTTTCATGGGTTTAGCTCTTACGTTCAGGTCTTTGACTTATTTTGAGTTAATTTTTATATATGACGCAAGTTTGTTTGGATATGATTTCCTCATCTGAGATGGGAAGAAGGTGTATTTGGAGAGCATTGGCATGTCCAGAATTCTTTCCTTCCCCTACCTACTTAGTGCCTGCCATTTCTTAGTCGTTGGATTCCTAGACAGGAAGAGAATGCGATCTAGTGGCTGTCTGAACTGAATAACTAGTTTCAGCGTGTTCTGGGTGGAACTTCTTATTGTATTCAAATCTTCGAAGGAAGCATATAGGACTTTTGGCTCTAATGTTTTCATTAGTGTGCCGAAAACTTGAAAGAGATCTGTGTTTCCCTTTGGGAAGATAGCATGTTAGTAAAAAAAATTTAACTCTTGCAAATAGGTCACTTCTCTTTGAGTTCAGGCAGGTTTCTTTATCCTAAGTGTTCTTGTGAGGGTGGGAGAGTGAGATGTTATAGTATTAAGGTATTATGATTATGGCTAACAAAGGGGTATATATTTTTTCCTGCTCTAGGTTCTCAGCTGCTGCGGGAGTTGAAAAAGATGGATGACAAAGCCCTTTTGGTGGAAGTACAGCTTTTAGAAAGCAAAACATACCATGCCCTGAGCAACCTGCCGAAAGCCCGAGCTGCCTTAACCTCTGCTCGAACTACAGCAAATGCTATCTACTGCCCCCCTAAATTGCAGGCCACCTTGGATATGCAGTCAGGTAACACCCTAGCTACTCATGGGATGTTTTCTTAAAGCTCTTCTTATTTCACAGTGGGGGATGGCGGGATGGGGGGATAGAGAATGTAATTGGCTAATTCCGCTCAAACTTCTCAGAGAAACCCAATTAGAAGGGTACCTTCCCTCCTATTAACTTGTTAACTGTCTAAAATATATTAAGAACATGCTTATCTGTGGCTGGCCAGGCAACCTGTTTGTTAGAGCCAATGCCCTGATAGGTTTAAAAAGCTCCTTAACCTCCATTTGAGTCACTCATTTAGGGGGTGCTATTTCTCTCCAGGGTTAGACTAACTCAAGTCTCTTGTCAGTTGAGGACCTTGGTAAAGCATGTTAGACTTTTCCAAAGGGCCTCAGATCAGGGCTAAGGAAGGCCTCCTCCACTACCTGCATTTCAGTTGAGTATAGTGGATACCTTTCTGATGGAGTGTGTGAATATTGGGGCTCAGAGGTCATGGATTGGCAGTGGAATGCTTTTTCTTGTGGTCAGCAGCTTTTATTAGTCATAGTTTATCATCATTATGGAAGGAACACTGGGATTGGAGGCAGAAAACTAGTGTAAGTCCTGGTGTTACCTCCCTGCAATCTCTTTTCCATATTTGTGTAAGAGAAAGAATGCCTGCACTACCAGTTTATCAGGTATTGTGAGTAGCAAATGGCTTATTTAGTCATTCAGAGATTAAGAGGAGGAGCTCTACAGACCACCTTTCCTAGGTTGAAATTTTGGTTCTGTCGATTTGATTCTGTCAAATTTTGGTTCGTGTGACTTGGGCAAGTTACTTAATATGTCTTTAGTTCATCTGTAAAGTGGTGATAATAATCATACCTCCTCATAGGATTGTGGTGAGGATTCAGTGAGATGGTGAATGTGAAGCTCTTACTGCAGTACCTCGCTTGGACCAATATTGGCACTTTCTTTAAGCTGCTCCTCTTTCATTATGCTGGTCCTTCAGGGACAAGAGATGAATTATTTCGCAGAGGAAATGGCCATGTTTACGTGAACCCTCCCCTCTTTCTTCTCCAGAGTTTGTATCACAGCCCAGTTCACTCCATATTAAGAATGATTCTTTCACCTGTCTTTTTGTTCCATTCTAAGTCTCCAGTCTTTCTTCTCCACTTGTATCTTTCTCTTCGTCCTTGAACTGCCCCAGCTGCAAAAAGCACAGCCTTTTCTCCTTTCTAAATTGCTGTCTTCTTTTCTGTCAAGTTTCTGAAAAAGTTGAAAGGGTATCCTTACTTTGGGGTCTCTTTTGACTCCTTGAAAGAAGTCAATAACCCCCTTATAACCTCTGACTTTTAGGGGGAAGCTGACTCTATTGAACACTCCAGGCTGCTTTGACATCACTGTCTTCCTCATTCTCCTCCCTTGACTAATTGTCCTTGGTCACACTTTGCTGTTTCCTCTTCCTTCTTACTTTTTTTTAAATCTTTTTTTTTTAACATTTTATTTATTTATTTATTAGAGAATGAGAGAGAGCACATGAGAGGGGGGAGGGTCAGAGGGAGAAGCAGACTCCCCACTGAGCAGGGAGCCCGATGTGGGACTCGATCCCGGGACTCCAGGATCATGACCTGAGCCAAAGGCAGTCGCCCAACCAACTGAGCCACCCAGGCCCCCCCTTCTTACTTTTAAGTGGGGTGTTCCTCAGTGTTTTCTTCAGTTTTTTTTCCATTCCTGTTCTCTGTTTCCTGTCTAAAGTGCCATACTCACCCATGGCTTCAGCTGCTGCATGCCGCTAGTGGTCTCCTCACCTAGATCTTCAGTAGCTTCCCTCTCTCCCGAATTCTAGATTCAGATTTCCAGCTGCATAACGGACATACATACCTAAATGCCTCATGAGTGTCTCAGCCTCAATATGTCAAAAAGCAAATTATCTAACTCCTCCCTCAACCTTCTTTTTCCTGTTCAAGTTAATGGTATCATTATTGATTTAATAATTGCTCAAGCTATTGTCTTTGGAGTAATTTTGACTCCTTTTTCTCCTCACCCCTCATACCCAGTCAGTTGCTAGATCAGGTGGAGTCTGTCCCCAAACCTACCCTTTCTTTTCCATCTCTACAGTCATTGCTCTAATGAAGGCCCAGGCCATTGGAGCAATCTTCTGCTGGTCTAACTGTCCTGATCCCTTTTTCCAGTCCACTTTTTTTTAACTGACCCCAAAGTCATTTTTCTCAAACACAGATCAGATCATGTAAGTCCTTTGTTTCAAATTCTCCAGTGGTTTCCCATTATCCCCAGGCTACATTTTATTTTAACATGGTATGCAAAAGGAAGGCATCTTTTCCTTTTCATCAGTCACCAAATGATTTTGTGTGTTCTTGCTGTTGTGCCTTTGTGTATTTTGTCTTCTTTGCTTGGAAGTTCCCCTTCTCATCTGTTCCCTTGGCAAAGTCTCATGTATCCTTCCAGACCCAGTTCATGTCTCCTCTATAAACCCTCTCTAGTGCCTTCTTTTCTTTTGGACTTCCCCTTTCAAAGCTGTATTTTTTTGTACATATTGTGGTACTAATCTTGTTTCTGTTTTGGTGACCATCTTTCCCACTATGAGACTATGAGCTTCATGAGGGCCTTTTATTCATGCTTATTTCTGCTGTAGTAACTGTATCAGTGGCTGGCAGATCGTAGACATTCGTTAATATTTGCGTTGAATGAGTGACAGTTTAGTTTTTTGCTTTTGTTTTTTTTTAAATAATAAACCTCATACACTAGCCTTGATGCTTGGAGTCCTAATGTGGGCCCTATTTATTAATGTATTTGGGAAAGCAGTATACCAGTTCTTGGGCCTTATTTTACTTTTTTTTTTTTTTTTTAAACCAGTCTTATTGTGGGTCTGGTCTGTTCTCTTCTAGCTTTGGACCAGGAGGTATGGGGAATGGAGATTTATCTCCTCTAGTTTAGCAGTGTTAATAGTTTGTTGGATATTCTTGAGGGAGCTCAAGAGAAGGGTGGAGTTTCTCCAGCTCTCTATAGATAAGAGCAGTAGAGAACAACGGTCTGATTCCTTTAGCCTCAAAATGAGAGGCTTCTTGGGTAGAGTAAAAAGTACTAGGGTGTGACACATTTCACTCAGTAAATGGTATTAAGTCAGAGGTTCCCAGATGGTGTGGAGGCACACAGCTATGTGATGCTAGGTGGGTTAAAAATGTGCTGAAACACTGTTCCCTTGGGTCATGTGTAAGCACTTCCATCCTTTTACTTCAGGGTGCTGAGTACTTTCTCTGTGTACCTCGATGTGAAAAATGTTGGGAAGCACTGTGGTAAACAAGTGAGGCTGAGGTCTTTAACCTCATAAAGGGCTGAAGCACAGTTAGAACTGATACACACTCCGAGGACTTAGATGCCTCCCAAGCTATAGAAAGAACTAAATTTTGTGTTATCCCAAGTGATAGCATAGGTGGGCAGTAATAGCAAGTTCAATCAGAGTTAGCCTCATTGGGATCAACCCAGCTTCTAAACAGTAGAGACTTGTTTAGATAAACTCTGGTATCTCAGCCTGAGTAAATACTGCTTAACCATATACAGTTAAATTAATTTCATGGATCTGGCATTATATGAAATCTATATATTGATTGCATCTAGGCAAAAGCACATCTGTAAATGACAACTATCTGAAGCGAGAGTATAAGAAATTAGACTTTTTTCTCTTATGAGAGCTGCTTACATACAAAAATGTCAAGCTTAGAAAAGCTATCTTAGGGGCGCCTGGGTGGCTCAGTTGGTTAAGTGACTGCCTTTCGGCTCAGGTCATGATCCTGGAGTCCCGGGATCGAGTCCTGCTTCGGGCGCCCTGCTCAGTGGGGAGTCTGCTTCTCTTTCTGACCCTCCCCCCCCATGTGCTCTCTCTCTCTTACTCTCTCTCAAATAAATAAAATCTTAAAAAAAAAAAGCTATCTTAAAGAAATGTTATTAAAACAGGTTATGCAGGCAGTCCAGGGATGTTTGATTCCTGACCTATGAGGGTGATGTCCTGAAGGGTAACTATGGCCTTTTCTAGGGGCTTCAACAGATAGCAGAACCGCAGTGGTGATGAGAAGCATGGGGAAAGATGTTAGTACGTAGTTTTTAGGATCCACTTTAAGTAGGGACTCTAACTCCTTTGGGATTTATATTGTCAAGATGACATTGAACAGGGAGACTGAAGACCTGGGTTCTCATCCCAGCTTTACCACTAGCTGGCAGTGACTTTGGGGCAAGTCCTTTATCCTTTCCTGACGTCATCACCTAGTAGATGGGGTTGGGATAGGTTTTGGAGGCTCTTTCCAGCTCTGATCTTTGATGGTTCTGTTATTTTATATGGTTTGTACTCCTTTCTTCTCATGTCCAGGTATTATCCATGCAGCAGAAGAGAAGGATTGGAAAACTGCATATTCCTATTTCTATGAGGCATTTGAGGGTTATGACTCCATCGATAGCCCAAAGGCCATCACATCTCTGAAGTACATGTTGCTGTGCAAAATCATGCTCAACACGTAGGTGCACATTAACTTGGGGATATGAGAACTCAAGTTCTTCACCTCAGTTTCTGCCATGCAGACATAGCTTGCACAGGGAGTGGGGTTGGTTAGAAGCAGCAGCTGCGCCTCTGGGGCTTGTTGACATAAGTGGGAGGATCGAAGGTGTTCCAGAGCATTTTTGCTTGCTAGTCTTTGAGAATCGGGGAGACAGATTAGAGAAATCTCCTTTCCAGACTCTTGGAGTGTTCTCATCATCCTGCAGTTATTCTGACCAGGGAGTTGCTGAGCACCAGACAGAGGGCCTGGAAATAGCTTACAGTCCAGCAGTGGCCAACTGGGCCAACCAGAATTGGGGGGGAGTTAAGGAAGACTTTAGGGAGAGGTTTGAGAAGGGGAACAACAGCAAGTAGGACAGATCTTTTTGTAAGGAGTTCTGCAGAATTTATCCACATTCTTTTGGGAATAAATGTGATATTGACTAGGACTGTTTGGATCTTTGCATTACACAGGGCTTATGTTTTAACAAGACCTGTTGTCTGGGGATTTGACTTAGATTTATCATCCTGCCTGTTGGGTCTATTACTTTTGGTACATTGATTGTGGCTTTCTTTTTAATGCTGGAGTTTTTCTACTCTTCAATGCTGGGCTTGGGCCTAGGGTAGAGATAGCCTGGCTTCTGTGAGGTGAGGGACATAATGAGTTTAGGGGTGGGGATTCTTACCACCATGGGCAGGCTTCTCAGTGGAATTCTGAGAAAAAGAAATTTGCTTAAACCCATACTTAGAAGCATAATGTCTTGGAGCGGGGACCAAGTATGTCTTTTTTTTTTCTAGCCCAGAAGATGTCCAGGCTTTGGTGAGCGGGAAGCTTGCACTTCGGTATGCGGGGAGACAGGTAGGGAATACCTTGACTGTAATTGTCATCTCTGCTCACTCTGAAGCCAGTACGTTGTCAGTCATGATGCCCTGTGAGACCGGTGCTCTTCATGTCTCCATTCTGTATTCTCTGCGTGGCGCCCCCACCACTCCTCCTGCCACCCCTTAAGCCCATTCCGTGTATTTTCTATACTGTTAAATCCTTGGCCTGGAGGGTCGGTGTTGGTGCTTTAATGGACATAGGGAGTTATAGAACTGAAGTGTAGCATTTGCACGAGTTAGGCTGCATTTAGCTTCGACCAAAAATTTATCTATCATGAGCCTGACTTGTAAACTTAACGTGTGCAGAACATGAAGTGTTGGATTCTCCAGGAGTCTGGAGCTTGGTAAGGTCTGGTGCACATGTGCTTTATAGGGAGGTTGAAGTGCTTAGGGCAGGAACTGGGTTTTGAAGGCTCACCCAAGTGCTTCTCAGTACCTTTCCACTCATGTCCTGAGTTTTGAGTGTGGTGCAAGAGGCCTTTGATAGTCGGTAGCCCCTTTTGTGCCTGAGTAGGTATGGGTATGACCTGTGTAAAGGTGGTCTCAGATGCCTGGACTATCCCTTCTTTGTACTTTGATTATCAGTAGTAAAGTAAAAGTAATCTTTCTAGATTCCAAATGCAGTTGTCTCCAAACAATAGACACATTAGCAATCTCATATCTTTGGAGGGATGGTCACAACAGATGGTTTCTTTCTTTTTTACAAGTGGCTCTAGTTTTGGGCTCCTAGTTTTGACCACAGTAATAGTTGTTATTACTATAGTGAAGGACTCACTGCTCTATCTAGAATTAGAGTTGAGGAAAATGGGCTAAGAGAGGTCAAGTGTCCAGGACAAGGGACAAGGTCAGATAACTATTAAATGGTGGAGCCAGACTTTAAACTTGGGTTATCTGGCTCTTAGTTCCAGGCTTTTCTCATTATGACATTTGTTCTATCTATGGGACAAAGGCCAAGACAGACTACAGTAATGATTAGTTTTGCACCATTTCAAAGTCTGCCATATTACACACACCATCCTTATGTAGGTGCATAGGCTGGTACCAGAGGAGCTCCTTCTGGTCCTTTGTACCTTGATGACAGTTTTCAAGCAGGTGTCAGGACAGACTCCCAGAAAGATTGTAGATTTCTGGCTGAGTGGAGACTTGGTAGCTTGGTGAGGCGCCTTTTATAACCAGGATAGAAGGTGACCTCAACAACTGATTGTACCTTCCTCCCTCTGTGGCATTTTTTTTTTTTAAGATTTTATTTATTTATTTGTCAGAGAGAGAGAACACAAGCGGGGGAGTGGCAGGCAGAGGGAGAAGCAGGCTCCCCGCTGAGCAAGGAGCTTGATGTGGGACTTGATCCCAGGACCGTGGGATCATGACCTGAGCTGAAGGCAGTTGCTTAAATGACTGAGCCACCCAGGCGTCCCTCTCTGTGGCATTTTAACATTGAGTGTAATATGTAGAATTTTGGTGGCTAACCCTGATGAAAGTAGACCCTGGCTCAGGCTCTGTACCACACCTAGCGGAGTAAGACTTGATTAAGCACAGGTACGACCTGAGGCTAAGGGCAAGAAAGAGTCTGTGGGCTTTGGGAATAAGGAGTCTTGGAGGAGGGGGAAAGATCACAGTTCTCTGGTCATTTTTTCTTTTAGCTTGTTATCTTTGGAGAATGCTGTATAAGGGCCTTTTTTTTTTTCTTCTTTTTAACTTCCTATTTCCTAGTATTTTTAAGTCATTTCAGGTTTCAAAGGGAGATTGGTTGGGACACAGTGGTGGTGGTCTAGCTCTTCTTCCCCGGCCTCTGAAGAAGATCAGTGGTGGGGCGGGATCTTCCTTGCAGCCAGAAGTTGTGTGGACATAGCATACTGCTTAGGACATTTATTGGGTGGGATGTGAGTGTGCAGAGTAGATCGCTGTCACTGTTTTTCTCTTTACTCTTAGACAGAAGCATTAAAATGTGTGGCTCAGGCTAGCAAGAACAGATCACTGGCAGATTTTGAAAAGGTAAGCATGGTATTGGGTTGGTAGGGAATGGGTGGGTGGAGGAGAGGGGCATTTACATACTTAAAAAAACCTTTTTATTTGTGAATAATTATAGTTTCACAAGAATTTTCGAAGATAGTACACAGTGATCCCATGTACCATTCACCCAGTTTTCCCCAATGGTTACGTCTTAATTACAGTACAGTATCAAAGTCTGGAAATAGTTAAGCACTTTTGTACAATAAAACTTGTTGAGTTGTAATACCTCATTTATATATAGTACCTTTTAGTTTCAAAAAGCTCTTTCATCCGGGGCCCCTGGGTGGCTCAGTCAGTTAAGCGTCTAACATGATCTCAGGGTCCTGGGAACAAACCCCACGTTGGGGAGTCTGCTTCTCTCTCTCCCTCTCCCTCTGCCCCTCCCCCTGCTCATGCTCTCTCTCTCTCTTGCTCTGCTCTCTCAAATAAATAAATAAAATCTTAAAAAAAATTGTTCTTTCATCTTTTTTCACCTTGATTTTTCACAGCATACCCCTTCTCTGCATTTTATGGTTGAGGGAGCGGGGGCTCAATGAGGGTGCCGGAAGCCCCCTGGCTCACATGTCAGGGATCGACGCCAGCCCTGCCACTTGTTCCTCGGCTCCAGAAATGCCAACTCTGCTTCTCTGGGGGCAAAAGAGAAGTCTTGATGTGTGCAGACGGACCAAAAGACACTTCCTGAGGTTGACCTTCGAGGCTTGCTTTGCCTCCTGTGACTTTCACTCATTGTTAGCAGAGGTTGGAAAAGGGAGAAAAACATGCCTGAGCAGTAATGAGACTTGTATATTCTCTTCTGAGCCTCTCCTCTCTGTCCGAGTTTAATGACCAATTTAATAAAAATAAACGTAGATCTAGGAAGAAAAACTTAGTGTGGATGGAGGCTAGACCATTTGGCTCTGGCTGTCCCCAAGATTCATCATCTTCGTTGAGCTTTCTTGCCAATTTCACTTCTTTACTTGGCATGATTTGCTTGCTTCTCTTAACACCTTATAGCACAGCTGACAGGCTGGATATAGAGACCATTTCTCAAAATAAATTATTTACATGAATAAACAAAAAAGACTAGATAATTTTATCCTAAAGTTTGGGATGTTTGATGGGACACCTCTATTATTAGGGGTTCCTTGGGGTAAGGGCCTGGGAAACATGAGGGCTAAATAAAATTAGGTGTTTTGCTTTCTGTTAACTGCCCAGCTGTATGTTGATGTGCTTGTAAAACTCCACGAGCCAGTTGTGGGATTCAGCATTTCCCATTATTTTTTATTTCTTACTTTGTAAGAGAGAGCGAGCAAGCTTGTACGCACGGAGGGGGAAGGGCAGAGGGAGAGAGAGTAGGCTCCATGCCCAGCCCGACATGGGGCTCGATCTCACGACCCTGAGATCATGACCTGAGCCAAAATCAAGAGTCAGACCCTTAACTGACTGAGTCACGCAGGTACCCCAAGTATTACCCATTATTTAACCTCAGAATTCTTTTTTTTTTTCCCCCCTTATTTTTCCTGGAGACCCTCTTTGCTCTGTGGGATACCTGGGGACATCTGCTTGTGTGGTGGATTTGGCTTTCAAGCTGAGCTGTTCTTGGGGCTTACATGGTTTGGGCTGTCAACGTGAGGCTTTCCAACAGAAAGATGGTGCCTAGAAAGGGCTCCATCTTTTAGTTCCTGATGTTTCTTCTGCCTTCTGTCATAACTCTTTAATCTCAAATCCTCTAGAACTTGAGTCACCCATGTGTTTACAAGGTCCAGCAGACTACTTAGGAAGCCAGGGGTGGTGGCGTGGCTTCACACGCTTCTCTGTGCCAATCTCTGTGACCGTCTTTCTTGGCAGGCCCTGACAGATTATCGGGCAGAGCTCCGGGATGACCCAATCATCAGTACACACTTGGCCAAGTTGTATGATAACTTACTGGAACAGAACCTGATCCGAGTCATTGAGCCTTTTTCCCGAGTTCAGGTAAGGACCCTCCTGGGGATTCTAGTTCTTCTCTGGGTAGGCATCCTCTCTAATCCCCTCCCTTCCCACACCTATCCAGAATAGGAACTTGCTTCCAAGACTGTGTCTGGTGGGCAAGAGGCTTGGGCTTTTCTTGACACAGAACAAGAGTTGAGGGCGAGCTGTGGTGTGGAGGCTGGTGAGATTGTCCCTGCTTGTCCCGAGTGCAGTCCGCTCCTTGCTTCTGTAGTCACTGTGCATGTGGTAGACGTCTGTGTTCCGGGGGTGTGGGACAGGGGTGTGTATTGTCTAGTGATGAGAGGCAGGCAGACAGACAGAGCACGAGAGGCCTGAGCCTGACCAAAGAGAGTCTACCCCAGGGAGATGCTCGGCTGGGTTTCAGCCGACTTGGCAAACCCAGCCCCACCCTGCCCCCAGGTTAGAGGCGGAAGTAGGACTCTCAGTGTCGCTGTCTCTTTGCCTTTTCTTGTAGATTGAACACATATCTAGTCTCATCAAACTCTCCAAGGTAAGGAGTCCTGAGCTTGTCTTGGGAGCAGGGACGGGGAAAGGGCCATGTGGAGGCGGGTAGCATTTCCACTCAATGGGCCTTGTTGGAAAGTCCTCAGACTTCATAGTGTCGAATGGGGACTGTGAGCTCAGAGTTTGAGTTACATTGTTGCTGTTTGGTTTATAATCCATTTGCCCTTTTATACAGAACTTTCTTGTCAGTGTGATCTTTGACTAGTGGATACCGGTCCCTTTAATCATGTGCTTTGATTTTAGGCCGACGTGGAAAGGAAATTGTCACAGATGATTCTTGACAAGAAATTTCATGGTGAGTAACAGTGATGAAGCGGTTGACGCATCACGTTCTTGTTTATCTTGAAAGGAGATGTTCCATTTGTTTCACCTGGTAGCTCCCTACGGTCGTCGCTCCTCTTATCCCTGTGATGAGAGTGCATAATAAACATGCCCAAATGGAACACAGAGATGATTTCTGGTTCTCCTCCTTTCTGGAGAAAGGGAGGCAGCTAGGGAGTGGGCTGCTTCTCAAGTGCCTTTGTGTCTAATCCCTTCTTTTACCTGGGTTGCCCTTGTGTTTCCTGCAGGGATCTTGGACCAGGGGGAGGGTGTCTTGATTATTTTCGATGAACCCCCAGTAGATAAAACTTACGAAGCTGCTCTGGAAACAATTCAGAACATGAGTAAAGTAGTGGATTCCCTCTACAATAAAGCCAAGAAGCTGACATAGGTGAGTGCTGGCTCCGGGCCCTGGGCCCGGGCAGCGCCGTCTTCTGCCTTCTAGACTGAAAGCCTCTGGGTGGCCTCGAAGCTTCCCTGAATGACACTGCTCTGTCTTCTCTTGCAGAGTTGGATCTGTAGCGGTCCTTTGGAGAGTGTGTGTGGCGGGAGAGTGAAACCTTGGGGAAAATGCTAGGAGATTCTTTTTTCTTTTTGTTCTACTTTTCGCTCGGAAAGTTTTTAAATCCTCATTTGGTGCATCTGTATTCCAGCCAATAGGTGTGCCAGTTTTCATGTAATCTTTACTGGCCCAACTTGGGAGTGGGGAAATTGCTTAAAAAAAAAGAAAAAGAAAAAAAAAAGGTTATTCTAAATAAAAGGAAAAAGGCTTACACTACCTAAAGCTGTGCTCTCTGCCTCCGGGGAGAGCCCCGCCACCCACTGGGGCTCCTGATCCACCTGCTGGGCGTCGCCTCTCCTCCTCTTCAGAATTGGGTGTTTGCCTGATCATCAAAGCAACGACTTTTTATTCTGTTTGTACTGAACCAAAACAAACAACTGTGTATAGACTGCTATTTTCTTTTTTATTTGAAACGAGGCGTTTTGGTGTTCTTTCCCCTGCCACATGGCCTGTCACCCGCCCTCCCCCCCCCAACAATGGCTCCAGCAGACTGGCCAGAGGGCCCGCCGCCGCCGCCCCTGCACAGCTCCGCGCCGGCCTGTGGAGGAATGGGGACGAGGCCAGGAGCTAGTGTCCACCGGGGCCACACGGGAGCAGTGTGGGCCCTCAGGGGGCCTGCTGTGCATGTGGCTCTTTTTAACACAGTAAACTAGATTAGATGTCAGTGTTTTAATTGCCCTTCTCCTCTGCTCTTCTCTCTGTCCCTTCTCTTTCCCCGCTCAACCGGGAGACCGTCCCATGTCTCTCTCCCCGCTCCTTCCCCTCTAGGGGAGTCAGGCTGTCTGAAATCCATCAGCTTCTCTCCCTGTCCCACTCCTCCTTCTGCTGTCAGATGGATTTAGTCTTTTTTTAAACAAGTGAACATTGGAAATGAGACTGTGGGGTGTGGGTTTTCTTTTTTTCTTGCTTTCTTGTTTTTTTTTTAAACCTTTGTTGTTGGGTTTTCGAGCAACCTCATGTCCCCCTCCCAGGGAGCTGCTTTATTTACCTCTTAGAAACCACATGGCTGGGGGGTAGAGCACTGTGTTTCAGCACGCTCTGTGTCGTGGTCAGATCGCGGAGAGGGGCTGCCGTGCCGTTCGGGCAGGTAGGCTTCTAGAAGCGCCCCCGCGCGCCCAGCCGTGCTTCTGCCCCTCAGCTGTCTCCTCTCCTCCTCCCTCCTGCCTCCTTCCTGCTGGCCTCCTTTTCTCTTTCTTTCCCTTTCTCAGATTATCCTTCCAGGTTTTCGTAATAAATTTGTATTTTGTAAAAGGATTTTGTTGTACCAGGTTTTGCATCCTCACTGAATCTGACTGGCTTTTACTTTCCTCTCCAAAATCAGGTTTTTGTTCTCAACATTTCTCCCCATCATGTCCAGTCACTGTTTTGGTTTTGGCACCATCAATATCAAATGTACAAACGGTTCTTGCTAACCAACACCAGGTATATCTGATGTTCAGATGAGTTCCAATAAAAATTTTTTTTTTCAAAAAGTGTCCTTTCTTGAGTGCTGGAGGGCTTCTGATCAAGTCCACACAGCTCTGTAGCCTTCTAGACCGGCCAAAGCTCTGGTACCTCATTTGCTTCATGGGAGACCTTTAGATCTGGGGTAAAGTGGAGGGATTTGGATAAGAAGGTTGGTCGGTGAGGTCTGAAATGGGAAGTGGTGTGCAGGGATCCTTCTGTTCTTCCAGGGTAACATGGTCCAGTGAGCACAGGGGGTTTGGGCTGGGAGAGCCTCTGCTGCTTCCTTGGTGGGGAATCGTGGTGGTGAGGGTTGTATGAAGTCATTACCAGTGCAAGTGCCTGGAGAGTCCTGACACTCAGTTGTGGTTTTGTTTTTGTTGAAACCTTCAAAAGCAGTGATTTTCATACTGCCCCTCAGACCCTGGCAGCGGTTCTTCTGAGGGGCCCTGAGGCCAGCTAGGGGTGAGGGGGGAGCTCTCACCACCGTTCCACTCCAGTCCCAGCCACTTTGTTACTTTGTTTCAGCTTTGTAGCGTCTCTGTATAGTTTCTATAGTTGCACTTGCAGGAAGAATTTTGCTTCGCCAAGGGACCTTAGAACTATCCCCAAGGCATCCAGCCCTGTAGCTGGTGAAGGGGGGGTGGTTTCCCCAAGCCTAGGGCTGCCCTGAGGGCCTCAGTCGGCAGCAGCCCTTCCTCTGCTCCCTTTGCGGGTCTGACGACCACCTCTAGACCTGTGCTGTCCACTGTGCGGTCACTGGCCACACGTAGCCTTTGACATGTGGCTAGTTCGAAGTGTGATGCATTGCAGATGTAAACAAACCAGACTTCAAAGACAGTATGAAAAAAATGTACAATAGCTCAATTTTTTTATATATATGTGCAATATTTTGAGCATAATGGGTTAAATAAAATATATTATTAAAATCCACCTGTTTCTTTTTTTTAAATTTTTTTATAATGTGGCTACTCAAAAATATTCAAATACCTATGTGGCTTGCATTTGTGGCCCATGTTATATTTTTTTGGATGATGCTGCTCTAGACCTCCAGGGCTGCTTTCCCTCTCTGGCCTCAAGGGAGCTGGGTCTGGGCACAGCTGAGGGGGTCGGGTGGCCCAGAGGCTGGCCTGGGCCCGGCTTCCTTACCTAGGGACCCTTCCTGGCTGCAGCCCTCATGTGCCATGGCTTTCTTGTGTGCTGATGAGACAGCGATGGTGTTGGGAGCAGAGGCTGAGGCGCTTGGCTCTGGAGCACTGCTGCGTGCTAGTTATATAATCTGTGCTGCCCGGAAGGGCCACTAGATGCTGCTCTGTGATCCCTGAAGGAACAAAGCACGGCTGCCTCAGAAGCCAGGGTTTAGCCTTGCTTTATCTGGAGCCCTTTCTGGAAGGGAGCTGGCCGGGGCCTTGTCTTCTCTCTCTCAGGGTGGTATGGGGATGGGGCCATGCAGAGGACAGGGATTCTCTGGTGACACATGGGAATATCAGCCCAACAGTTCAGATAACAAGCAGGCTGGCCCTTCTGGCAGCTAGAGATAGGCCATAGGATCAATAGGCTAATCAATGGTGGAGTTTGGAGTGCTTTCCTGCAGTTCTCTGAAGAAGACTGGGAAGAAAACAGCTCTGCTTCATTCAGCTGGGTCTGCATTCTGGGCCTTGATTCTGCCATTTCCGGCAGAATATTGCCCTTTCTTCCTTGCCTTGCACTGGAGCTGTGACAGGAGCTTGAGGGTGGTGGTGGTGGTGGTGGGTGCCTTGAAACAGTGGGCATGGCGGCGGACAGGACTTCCAGACAACCCCTTTCCTCAGGCACACTGGCAAGCGGGCTGCCAGTGCACATGTCATTCATGCTGTGCTGCAAACATGGCTTTGCCTTCGACAAGTGTGAGGAGGCTGAGGTAGTAATGCAAAGAACTCTTTTGAAGGTGCTAGGGAAGGCTGGCTGGACAATGGCGAGAGAGGATACCAGAGTGTGGCCAGCCTGGAAAAGGTCCGGGCAAGTGCCTGCTGCTTTGGTTTGGGAAATCAAGTGGGGTAAAGTGGACCTTGGTACTGCCTGCCATGAATTGGAATAGCTGGAACTGAAATTTGTAGGTACAGGTACCAGGGTGGATCTAAGGGGAGGCTTACAGGCTTCGAAATCTAGGCATATTTTGTGAAATGGAAAGCATTTAACCTTTGCTCAACACCAGAATCTGAAGGGGACCTTGAGAGGCAGTATGGACAAAAGCCTACTTGGGAGCTGGGCCTCTCCACCAGGGGCTGGAGGGAAAAAGCCTTTGCCTTGGAGAGAAAGAGAGTCATTGGGCCAGGAGACCTGGAATAGATTACTTCTTCAAGCTCCTTACTAATAGGGAAGGAGGGTTGAGGACCGCTCCATTTCAAGAGCATGCCGAGGTTGTACATGGAGGAACATTGGGAGGGAGGGCCCTGTTGAGTGAAGGGCCGGCTTTCATCTAAGTTAAGATGACAGCTGCTGTGGATGTTTCACAAGCAGCCGTACAGAACAATGCATTTTCCATTCCGTGGTCACCAAAGTCCCTAAAGCTTTCACTTGCCACTATTGACAGAGAAACAGCTGGGTAGTACATGTACGCGTTCTAGCACTTTGACTCGATAGCAGCACTGTCCTGCGTAGGGCCGTGGGCAGCACCGGCAGAGTGGGCCCAGGTTGACAGCCTTGCGGGCCGGAGTGGCCAGGAGGCCAGGAATTGGGTAATCTGGATTACTGCTTCCTTATCTTTTGGTCCAGAGGTGATAATCTGGATTAAGATAGGGTTTCAATCTTCTGTTTCTCCAGTTTGTGAGCAACTCAGTTTCCAGAACCAACTAAAAGAAAAACAAATGAAGAATGGCTCTTGTGAAGGATGTGAATTCTTGTCTGCGAGAGGAACTGTTCTTACTAGATTCAGAATTTTACAGTTTGGCACCAGATCTTCAAATGATACATGGTTAGCAGGAAAAACATCGGAATCAGAGGATCAGAGGCTGGTTGGAAGAGCAGTGGCTTCAGTTTTACTATAACTGATAAGAGGCCAGTGGAAATGTCGAGGTCACATTTGTGAAGGACTGGCCCGTCTCTGGGGCAGCGGCCCACTCGGGGGCCTCAGAGCCCTTTCCCAGCCAGGTGGGTGCTGGAAAGCCAGTCGCTGTTTTGTGGACCAGCCCAGAACTGCCTACGCCTCTCTGGCCTGGATTTCTATTTACCCGGGCTCCGGCCCTTTACCTGAGGTGCGGGAATAGAGGCCCCGGAGGGGAGACGTGAAAGTCGATGGGACAGTCCATCAGGATGCGAGTGGCTTTCCAGCAAAGGCTTCCGCCTCCCCGCCCCGGCTCAGGACCTTCCTCCTCGAGTCCCTAGCTTCTTCCCCGCCGGACGAGGATGTTAATGGGAAGGGACCTCGGGGCCCCGGCCGGCCTCCGTGGATAGCTTCTCGCGCGGCAGCCTCAGCTCGGGCGGGCAGTGCGTCGCCAGGGCGGGGACGCGGCCGAGAGCGCCCCCGCGGCCCGCGGCTGCGGGCGCCGCGGCGGGAACAAAGGCAGCACGTGTCTGGGCGGGGCGGCGGGCGGATTCGGCCCTCGGCCCCGCCCCCGGCGCGCCCCCTCCCGCCCCCGCCCGGCCCGAGCTCGGCTGCGCGGGGCGCCGGGGACTCTCACGCGGCCGGGCGGCTGCTGGCGCGGCGGCGCAGAGCGGGCGGCGAGTGGTGCGGGAGGAGCGG